ATCAATTTCTATTATAAAATTCATATTAAGTTAATGTTAATTATCATAATATATTAAATTATTATATGTTCAAAGTTAATTAGTATTTCTAATATATAATATTATATTAGAATTTTTATTATAAAATGCTTTACTACTGGGCCTATGAAACAACGTTTCAAAGATTCACTTAAAATCTAAAAACTTCACGAAGTTTAAAGAAATTTACGTATTTATGATGTAATAAATCATTGTGTATGTAAATAGAAGTGATTGTGAGAGTTCCAGAGAGTGGTTGATCTTTCAAATATGAATTCATATTTTCATTAGTACAAAGAGATTTGAGATAACGAATATTCTCTCCATCTGATACAAAAGCGATTGTTCATATTTTTATTGGCACAAAGAGATTCGAGATAACACGTGCCTTGAATTTTAACACGCGTAAACGAAAACATTCTTTCCATCTTGCCAGTCCGCAGTCCGCCTGCGTCTCTGAAACGATCGACGTATGAAGCAATCTCGTCTCGATCGTCTCGCATATGCACGAGCTCTGTGCCGCGCAATACCTGAATTTCTCTCCTTCCTTCCGTTGTTCATCTTCCCCAGCGACCGCTTCGATTTTCGATAGAGCCAAGAATTTCCCACGAGAAGGCGAAAGAGGCGCTGGCTCTGCCTTTCGAACCGACGACGTTCGATGCGTCGGCCCGCTGCCTCTGCTTCTCTTTCACGCACTGAATGCTATACAGCTCTGCGGTTTCCAGGATGATCCGCATCGCGCCACTGGAAAAAATTCGGTCAAGCCGCCGACGGATTAATTAAACGCCGCCCGTTTTACGTTTCGCCCAGGTAGCTCCGTACCGAGAACACGGACTCTTTCTTCTCTTTTTTCCCTCTCTGCCGGGGCGACCGAGGAAGGAAAACAGAGAGGGAGGTTTTTTTCTTTTTTTCTTTCCATTTAAACGATGCCGGTTAACGACTCTCGTTGCATTAGAATTGCAAGCGAGACGCGGTCTCGAAGGTAGCGGATGTCGGAATTAGAGCCGCAGAAAGTCGTGCGCGTGCTCGCCTCGTTGCACAAAAGCTGTTGGCGAACGCGAAGGAAAATTTCTCGCGTTCCTCTGTGCCCCCGCTGTTGACGCACACTTTCGTTGCGTTTTTCATTCTCCTTTTTTCCGCTTTAACGAACGACGTATGTTGCGCCGCGGCAAGGACAAAGAGATCGCTCGCTCCTTCCGAGTGTCGAAATCTATGGACTGTGAAAGAACAGACGTGCTGACGTGTAATGCTTACTCTCTTTGTTTCTAATTAGGGTAATAATCGTGAAAATCGCGAGTGACGCTTAGCTCGAGGAATGCAGTTACAGAAATGGAGAAATGGGTTGGATTGTTGCTGCTGGGACAACTGATTGTCGGAATAAACTCAGTTATTGAAATTAAGGGGCGGATGATTTTATATTCAAGATTATTTGATGTATTGAAATCAAAGTATACAAATATATTATATCCTTATGTTTATATATATATATATATATATATATATAT